GTCATTGTTGTGTGTGTCCGCCCCCCCCCCCGGCTCTCCCATTCACCAGCCAGTATGTGCTGTTCCTTCCCTGCCTGTGGTGCAATCTTCCATTCCTGGCAGGAGCATGGACTTCCCTTCCGCACCTCCTCCAGCAGCTGCCCTCTCAGACAAGGAGAAAGGGCAGGGATTCCTGCAGCGCTGCCTGTGAGTGGGCAGCTGCTGGAGGAGGCAGAAAAGGGAAATCTGTGCTCCTGCTGGGACTGGAAGATCGTGTAATGGGGAGGGAATGAGCAGCATGCACCAGCTTGTGAATTAGGGGAGTTGGTGGGGGGGGGAGGAACCCATTGCACCCATTGTGCCACACCGACAACTTAAGACAACTCAGCACGAAATACCTCATGCCCATCTCTAATGGACTAGACTGGGGAATACCAATGTGTTTTAAATAGGTTAAGTATAACAGTCTCTTGAGAATATAGTTATTTCCGTCCCTTGGTTTTTTGCTCTGAGCTTCCACTTATCCTGAAAATATTTTGTTCTGTTATCACAGGATAGAAATGAATTTATTTGGTTAAAGTAACTGCCAGTAAGATAAGCAATACATGCATCTCAGTGCAGGTAGTCACTGAAATATTAAGCAGGGACTTTATATAATCTTGTCTCTTCTTCCAGTATTTTAGTCACAGGATTCAACTCATTGCTTAGTGTGTGGAAATGTTTCTGTTGGCATCTGAGTTGGTTATGGGCAAAAATACTTGGAAGAGTACTTGCTTTTAGGGAAATCATTCACCAACATGATGGTAAATTTTAATCTTGTTGATCTGTACTAGCCTGTCCAGTTGGAATTCTGAATTATTAGAATTTTCAGATTGATTTTTGGAGTGATGCATAAAATGTGGCTCAATGACATTTCAAACTTTTACAGATTTGACTTGCAGTTCAAATAGTAAAATGTAGACTGTGCTGCATTCCCAGCTTTTCAACTTTCAGCTTTTCTAAAAAGCTTTATTTGCAAGCTTCTATTCCCGTGTGAGATGAATGCATTCTCTCTTTACCCCTGCCTTTCTGGAAATATCTATGAACAAAGAACATGCCCAGCAGCTCTAGGCAGCAAAATCTGCATTATTACACATTCAGGGCTGCCTCTCTCGCTGCTCCAAATCCCTTCCCATCCATCAACCTTATTTTAATAGGGATATACAGGAATCATCTGAGGGGAGACATGGTCAAGGTCACTTCAGGCTATTGGAGCAGTTTGAACTTCTAATCCATCTCTGAGAGATCTACACAGGAAAATATCAGTGGTTGTGAAATGTTGTTTTGTGTTCAATTGACTGTCAGTTCTCTGTTTTGCTTTAAAAGCAATTGAGCATTTCTGAATTCCTGTTTGCATTGTTCTTGATTTTACAGTGGTGCCTCGCATAGCGATCGCTCCGCATAGTGAAGAAATCGCTTTGCGATGCTGCTTTTGCGATCGCAACAGCCATCGCTTTGCGATGGCCCCTATGGGGAAAATTTGCTTTGCGATGATCGCAGGGAAGCGATCATCGCAAAGCCCCCATTTTCGGCCAGCTGATCAGCGGGGCTTTGCAATGATCGCGGGGAAGCGATCATCGCAAAGCCCCCACTTTCGCACATCTGATCGGCGGTTCCAAAATGGCTGCCCACTGTTTTGCCTCGCTTTAGAGGCATCGAAAATGGCTGCCGCAATGGAGGATTTTCACTTAAGGTGAGTTTTGGAGCTCATAGGAAAGCATTGAAGGGTTTTCAGTGCGTTTCTATGGGCTTTTTAAAATCGCTTAGCGACAAAATCGCTTAGCGATTTTTGCTGCATGGATTAACGTCGCCAAGCAAGGCACCACTGTATATACATATACGCAGCTGAAAATTGATGTTGATTTTCATTCTCCCAACTCACTTTAAGGTTCACCTCACTCCCAGACTGGACGTCTGGCAGACATGCTGACCTTTTTACCTCTGGAAAAGGATTCTGGCCTGCAGGCACCTAAACCTTAATCTATGATTCCATTGTGTCCTGATTCACAATTATTAATCAATAAATAAGAGTTATTTCTCTCATAGGTGATGGCAGTGATAGGTCTGGAATACAGAGGTGGCAAGCTGCACAACGTTTTTTACCTTATAGAGTTGAAGGTGGAGATTCCTCTGTTACGTCATGGGACAGGGGCTGCATCAGGTCTCATCCTGTGACTTCCGATTGTTATCTTGGAGCTTCTACTTAAGTTTCAGAAATATTAGAAGTGAAGGCTAGTCAGCTTCCAGGATCCAAGCTGAGTTCCATGAGTACCTTGTGGCCTGGCTGTGTTTAACTTTCCCAAGCTAAGTGTTCACTTGCTGTTTTCCTCTCTATTCCCTTTGACAAGACCACAGATTGTCTTCCAGTCACCTGTTAATAACAGTCCTTGTTATAGGTGCTCTCCCTTGTGTTACAAGTGTTTGTGGGGTTGGTTTGGTTTGGTTTGGCCACTTGTTTTCGAAGGGGGTTAATAACAGATTTCTGCACTGGCAGTGACCAGTCATTTTAGAACATGGGCAGCAAGTCCATTTTGAAGTATTATGAAATGCTTAGCTGCTACTTTTCGTGAACATTGCAGTACCTCATGCAGTCCTCTTGGCCATGGAGGTGCCTTTGAGTAGAGCTTCTCTGATTCTATGCGTTGCTTCCTGAGTAGCACCAGAGGCTCAGTCAGGAGCATAAACTGTCTTGGTCAGGCCTGGGATTTAGCCCAGACATGTTGGAAATCACCAATGATTAGAATCATGCATCGTATTTGTCTAGCAGGTTGGGCATCTGTGTCATATAGTGGTCCCTTTTCCGTCCTGTACTCCTTCACCAGTGTCATATAATGTTCCCTTTTCCGTCCTGTACTCCTTCACCAGGTAACATTTTCCCCATCAGTAAAGATACCAAATGCCATGTAGTATTGATAAAAGTGAAATCAATTTAAAGCAGTGGCTCCCAACCTTGGGTCCCCAGATGTTCTTGGACTAAAACTCCCAGAAGCCTTTACCACTTCCTATGCTGCCAAGGATATCTAAGGGTTGTAGTCCAAAAACATCTGGGGACCCAAGAGTGGGAACCACTGTTTTAGGGGTATGAGAGTATTGTAACAATAGTCACAACTGTGCAGCAGGATAAGCCAGAGGTCTATGTACAGGAAGCCTGTGTTAGTATCTATGTGAGGTCTACTGGTGCATCCTATTTGCTTCTATGGGCAAGAGGTTTTGTGTGTCAAACACATGTGGAGTTTTTAATTAATTAATTTTGTACCCCACCCATCTAGACTGAAGTCTACTCTAGGTGGCTAACAATAATAAACAAAAGTAAAAACAATATGATAAAATAAAAACATCAGTAATAATATAGTTCAAGATGGGGAAAATAATCAGGTGATGACAGGAAGAAAAGCCTGCCTAAAGAGCCAGGTCTTAAGTTTGCTCTTAAAAACACCCAGTGAGAGAGCCAGGCAGATCTCTATGAGCAGACTGTTCCAGAGGGAAGGGGGCCACTGCCAAGAAGGCCCGCTTTTTTGTTCTTTCTCGCCGGGCTTCCTTCAGCATTAGGCCTCTCAGCCACTCTTCTTGGCTAGAACGAGTGATTCAGGTAGATCTAGGTGGGAGGAGGCGTTCCACTAGATTTTGAGGTTCTAAACTGCTTAGGGCTTTATATGTCATCATTAACACTTTAAAATCAATATGGAAATGAACAGGGAGCCAATGCAAGGCACCAGAGTAGGGGAAACATGCTGATATTTTCTCACCCCAGTGAGAAGTCTGGTTGCCGCATTCTGCACCGTTTGAAGCTTCCACATCAATCTCGAAGGTAGCCCCGCGTAGAGCGCATTAAAGACTACAAGTGCATGGATTAGAGTGGTGAGTGCCCCATCATCAAGATAGGGACGCATCTGGGCAATCCGCCAGAGACGGAAATAGGCGGAGCGGACCACTGACGCTACTTGGGTTTCCATGGTGAGTGCCAGATCCAGATGGACCCCCAGGCTGCGAACCTCACTCTTCATGGTGAGAGTCACTCCCCCAAAAGAGAGTGAGTTTCCCAAACCACCAATGGAGGGGCCACCCACCCTCAAGACCTCCATCTTGTCCGGACTCAGCCTCACTCCATCCTACATCCATTGTAGTACAGCCTCCAGGCAGCACTGAAGGGATGGAACGGCATCCACTGTTGTTGGAGAAAAGGAGATGTAGAGCTGGGTGTCATCAGCGTATTGATGACACGATGCCCCACACCCCCTGATGACCCCACCCAGCGGCCTCATGTAGATATTAAACAGCATTGGGGAGATAATCGAGCCCTGTGGAACCCCACAATTGAGACTCCATGGGGTTGAAACACTCTCCACAAGCTATACTCTCTGAGGACAGTCCTCAAAAGGATCGGAACCAGGCAAGCGCCAGGCCACCGATTTCCAACTCAGAGAGCCTCCCCAGGAGGATACCGTGGTCGACGGGTATCGAAGGTGGCTGAGATATAGAGGAGGACCAACAGAGACGTTTTGCCCCGTCAGCCTCCCTAATACGTCATCAAACAGGGCGACCAGTGTAGTTTCGTGAATCTTAAGTTCATTCTCTGGTTGTTTGAGAGAGAAAACAAACAAGGAGGGAAAGTGCCTGCATCCAGCTGTTATGTAAACAAATCATGAAATGGACAATGGGGACATGGAGAACAATTTAGAAGTAATCATATGGTCTGTCTATGGTTCCTCAAGGCAGAGAAGGTTAAGTCAAACATTTCACCAATGTTGATCTCTTATTTTTCATGTTCTCTGGTAGAATTTTTATCAATTATCAGGGCACAGTTACAGAATTTTATCTTGCTATCTATATATTTTCTGTATTAAGCCATTTCTGATAGAATTTTTATTTTATTTTATTTTATTAATATCCTGGGTGATGCTTCCTAATGTTTTCCTAATGTTTGTGTTGCTTTTCCTTAAGAATTGTAAATGTCCTGTTGTGTTTTTCCTCTCCTTTCCTAGGGGAATCTTTCTACTGTTGAGCACTTGCTGAAAAGTGGAGCAGACCCCAATGTTCAAGATTATGCTGGATGGACACCATTGGTAAACCTTACTTTTTCTTAAATGTTATTCATTGTTTTTTATTCCTCCCCAGTTCTGTTTTCTTGCTTCATCTGTTGTTCACTAAATAGGGAACACCTTTTAACTGGGCAGACAATGTTCTTTTGATACATGTTTAACGTGTTTTATGTTTTAACTATATTGGTATTATTTGATTTTATCTTAGTAAGCAGACAGAGTACCATTTTTCAGGAGAATAATAGGATATAAATGAATGTACGAGATGTAACCTGAAGAATGATCTAGAGCTAAAAAGTCCAGACATGGACACTTTCTTCTTTATCTCTCTTTGATTGTCCTCAAAAAGGAAAAAAAAGAACCCTATATTTGCTGTAATTTACTTTGTTACTTTTGACAACCTGTCTCTTTCTTGCTTTTCTGCTACTTGTTCCTGTTTATGTCAGAATGAACTTTATTTTTATATCTGAATGAAGCTAATGTCTGTGCCTGCCAATATTCCATATACTACATTTCCAAATACAAGGAAAACAGAGTTTAGAAGTAGTCCTTTTGTTACTTCTAGCTGTGAAAATCCATTTATGATGGATACTGTATTAGAATGACTTCACTTTTTACTGCAAGAGTGAGCATATGCACCTGCTTTTCCTATCAGTCATTGCAAAGATCCTTGGAACTGATGGATTTCAGTGGTAAGCTGCTTTGGGAATTGTTCTTGGCTGGAAACAGTGCTAGAACTGTAATCAATAAAATGTGTAATTTCTTCGCATATATCATTTTGTTACAAGACTCATTTTTTAATTGTGCAAATTGTTACTTTGCTGTTCTCCATTTCAACCTCTAGCATGAAGCTTGTAATCATGGACATAAGGAGGTAGCAGAGTTATTGCTGCAACACGGGGCACTACTGAATGCACCTGGGTATCAGAATGATTTGCCGCTTCATGATGCTGTCAAGAATGGGCATACAAGTGTTGTTGAACTGTTGCTTTTGCATGGAGCTTCTCGAGATGCTGTGTAAGTAGAGTGGAAAGCTGTTCATTTCTCTTTTCAAATGAACCGAGATATAGCTTGGCTTGCTCAGAAAACACTGAGACCAAAGACTGTCGTTCTGTCACAAATACAAAAAAATAAATAAAAAAAAAATAAAATAAAAAATAAAAAAAAATCACAAATACAAAAAAATAAATAAATTAAAAAATGCAAAATCTACCCAAATTAATCTAACCAGGCATCTTTCTTTTAAAACTACAGAAAGCACAGAGAACTATTAGAATGCCAGTAGACAATAAGTAATGATGAACTAGGGAAATACAGTTTCAAATCTACTTAATCATAAAGCTGTCTGGGAAGCCCATTGCAGATCAGCTTTTTCTTAGGCCTTATCATGTGCAGAGGTAGGCCTATGTCTGGGTTGTACCCTGACATACCACAAGGAGGAATTTTCTCTAGTAATAACATTTTATACACAAGGAAGAGAAGACTAGGATAAAACAGTACACCATGACATTTCATTTTCTTTTTTGGTGCAACTTCTTTTCTGCATGATAATGATTCACATAGAAAGACTTGTACCCTTAAGGCACATGGGCCAGAATTCTGTTGTGCAGTTAACTTTTAGTGGTGTTGGTATAACTTGTAGTGGTGAATTGCTATAAATTAAGAAATCTACATAGGCACTATATGTTGCCTACAAAGTTCCATGATTTGGTATCCATCAGGTAATGGCTACTGAGATTTCTTAACTTGCAACAACTGACTGCTAAAAGTTATGCCTTTTGCATAACTACATAACAGGATTTCAGCCATAGTCTTGTGTTGATTTTACATGTTTTATGCCTCGGGGTGGGGGGTTATCCTAAAAGGCAATCCTTAAAACTTTAAAATAAACTGGTAACATTTAACCTAGAATGCCCAAAATGCTTAGGAGAATATGATGGTGTTTTTTTTAATCTTAGGGGTATATATTGCTGTCCAGTCCCCTTGAAGCTTTTAGGCCTCCCAGCATTTGCAAGTGTCTGAAAACTAGTTTCCTCAAACACCAATCTGGCCTCCTAATCTCAAAAAATGTCATTGCGTTGATTTTTTTATGTGGCTATTTCTATGCAGTTTTTTGTTATTGCAGTGTTATGCTCCTTCAAGCATCATTGTGACATAAAAGACACTTCAATAATTGCCTTAGTTTTCATTTGGTGACAGTGTGTATGCACGCACATGCACACACACTCTCTCTTGCTCTCTCTACTTCTTAATACAGGCTGGGAAATATCTGTAATGCCAGTGGCTTCTAATTGCCTTATGGAGATAAGAAAACTGGCTGCCCCTTGCAGTCAGCATCTGTTTGTTGATTGTGGATATACTGACAGGAGAGAGACATATGTGTTGAACCTTTGTGCATTTGTGAACGTCCCCATATGTTCAGGCGTGTTTGATATCTTAGAATTATTCTGAGAATACAGAATTAAGTCTAGAAATTGTTATAACATCACAGTAATGGTTGGGGCCAACGGAAGCAAATTCCATGGAACCAAGTCCACTTTGCTGGCCATAGTAGTCAAACTGAGGGGAGCAGTTTGTGATGCAGAAGGTGGGTGGATCTACTGTTCAGACGTGAAGTATCAAAAATTATGCTCAAATCCAAACTATTCAGTGCAGTGGAAGTAGTTCCTTAGATTCTTCTCCATTATATGTAACATATTATTGTCACATACTATATATGCTAGAGGTGGGTCCTTTGTTCCTTGCCCAGTGACTGGATTCTTCTAGTTGAAATCTTCACCCTGTCACCATTCCCTATAAACATTAGATCAGGAAGGTAACTAGTGCATTAAGCCGGCCAGTCATTTGGTCAGTCCTCTCAGAGTCCAAGCAGCTCTTGGAAGCACTGGCTGAGGAGAAAAATCATCTCTTAGAAGCACCCACTGGCCACATGCCGTTCCTCCTTCCTTCCTGGCTGAGGGAACCGAGGGAGGGGGAGGAGGGAGGAACAAAGGTTGGTCTTCTGCCAGGAATCCAGTGACATCAGGGGGAATAGCTATTATGTCCCTTGATATCATCTAGCTCCTGCTTCCAGACTGTTCTCCATCCCCATTATAAGCTTTCAGCAAGTATAATCCTTTTGATAAATGTTAAATTATTTCCCTTTCTTCTGAACAAAATGTCTTCTGTGGAAAAAACAAAAGTGTAATTTTAGATGTTACCGAAACAGTGATGAACATCTTCTCTTTCATATGGAAGAAAATTCAGGAAGGTTTATTCTGAAGGTAGGAAATGTCTATTTCTGTGAGAATCTGCAAGATTTAGTGGTTGCAGTCCTACTTTTTCAACCTTTTCTCTGACTAGCAAAGAAGTGAAGCTACAAATGGAAAATATTATGTGGACCAGTGGACCTATTAATTGCCCTGTTGGCCTAGTTAATTTTTTTTAAGTTAATCCCCTGCACATAACTAATTTATATTTTATAGCTGGTTTTTCCCCATGTTTGCTCTCTTGGATTTCTTGCCTGTTTTGCTTCACGGCCAACCAAGTGACGTGAAAAATTAGCTATTTGCATTTGCAATTTCAGTTGTTCATAAAGGCTTCCACTCTGGCGGACTCTCCTGCCAGTTTTTCCCCATCCACAATATGTTTTACATTACTAAAAACTGTCCTCCTCCCTTATTTCATAGCAGAGAATTCGATCCTGGCTTCATCCTGTGTCTTGAGTCTGAATATAGGTGAAGTATGGGAACATTTGTTTTAGGACTAGGTAGAGCAATGAGCAAAGTGTAGCATGCATTGCATTGACAGTCTATCTCCAAGGAAGTTGTTTCAGTTCTTAATGGTAGTCTTAACATCAGTAATGAACTGGATTGTGGCAAGCAAATTGAAATTTAATACAGACAAGATATAGAGTCTTCTGGTCAGTTGAACAGCAGACCAGATTCAGCCCATGTTGAATGAGGTTATATTCCCCTTGAAAGGTTAGGCTTGCAGCTTGAGTGTATTCCTGGAATTGAACTCGATCCTGGATGCCCAGGTTCTGGATGCCTTTGCACTCGTAGAGTCACTTTGGGAGCTGCCACTGGTAGAAAATGCAGGTGCTAGAAGACTTAGTGGAATGTACTGTACCTGTATTGGAATTATGTTCACATACAGATCAGAGTTTTCACAGTTTTTCAGGAAAAAAAATCTTTCTGAGTCTCTTTCATTAGTTTTATAAGATCATTTAATCTGCTCAATATCCATTCATGGATCTCCACTTGGAAAATGCAATGCCCTGGGATATGGAGTGGTGTTTCTTGTTTAACAAAATGAATAAAGTGGTCCAGTGCATTTGTGCATTCATTTTTGTATCTCTTAAAAGTTGTTTTTATGCACATTCAATCTTTTAATCATGGCAAGTGCGTTGTTTCCATTACTGTTTTGTTGGCTTCTATATTACAACTCAATTCAAGAATGCACCTCCTAATTATCTCTGACCTTATAGTACAAAAATCTAATTCCATAAATTCTCTTTCTTCAAGAGACTTTTTCTGATAATGACTAGTGCCAAAATTATTTTGACAGGAAACATTCAGAACTATAGTTTTTCTCTATTTCTGTGCCTGAAATTCTCGTAACATTATATGTTCTGTTGCCTAAACAATGCCAGTGTTTTCATTGCTCTCATTTTGTCCCACCATGTTATTTAGAGCAATGGAGTATGTATTGTTTCTGTGGGCTAGCTTTTGGAAACAGTTATTGATGGTAAATGTTTTCATTGTATTACATTTTTGTGCCACCCCAGCCACTTCATGCTGTGAGTTCAGGACAACATTCATGCTGGCTCTTCCTCCATTTTGTCCTCTCAGATAATCGCATGAAGCAAGTTATGGTTGATATGGATGGCACCATACAGATCTCTTCAGTTATTCATCTGTATTTTTGCAACATATGAAGCTGTGCCACCCATGGTCAGCCCAGTGTTGTCTGCTCTCTCATTGAAAACAGCTTCCCTGAGTTTCCTAGAGGGGTCTGCCCTACATCTTCTGCTAAAGATCTTTTAACAGAAATGCCAGGGGCTGAACCCCGGCCCTTCTGCCCACCACACATTTGTACTCCTGTAAAGCTAGTTGCCCGTTCTTTTATGGCTGGAAAGGAGACTTTGCATGTTTCTCTTTTTCCCCCATCTTCTTTTCTTAAATAAAAGATTCTGTCATTGTACGTTAAAACTCTGTAAAAGCAACACACTACATCATGCCATCTGTTATGGTGGAAAGCCAGTGGTTTTATGCACAAGCTAATATTTGCTTTCTGTACTGGCTGTGATGCTTGAGGTCTGTTACAGCAGTTGGCTTTAAATATAACCCTCAATTAATAGGATGAGGCCACATGCCTGCCCAAGGGATATGCGCTTCAATCAAGGCAATGTGATGGTCCTTATTGGTTTGAAACTCCCAGGATTAAAAATGGGATTTAACATTTATCTCCTCATCTGGCATTTTGTAGTATGTGGCTGTGGCGGAATGTCCACGTCACTCCTGTCTATCATAGCTGAAGCTCAAGTGCAGGAGCCTATGAGAAGACAGGAGGGGCGGAGTCAAAGGGACAGTGAGACAGAGGGAGAATTAAGAGAGAGGAGAATTGGAGAGTTCAGGGGAGAGAATTGGAAAGTTGGAGAGTTGAGTAGAATGTGAAGGAGATAAATTGGATAGTAAAGCTAAATAGATAGTCAGAGAATATTAATGAGTTGGTTAATGTGAATATGTGAATCCATCACCTGAATAAGCAAACGTGTAATCAAATATAAAAAGTTTAATGAGTGATTCTAAACAATAATAAAGGAACATCTGTGATTTAAAAACCAAAAGATAAATAAACAAGTTATATTGGCAGCACGTGTCTGATGCATATATGGTGCAGTGTGGATGAGAGATCCACTGGTGGTAGCGGAAGAAAGAGTAAACACATCCAAAGAGTGAACCTGGGTTTGGGGAAAACAAACTGGGAACACTGGGTGGAACGTCACAGTGGCCTTCACTTGACTGGTGTCCCTGCAGACTGGCAGCACATAAACTTGTTATGCAGCAACAGAGTTCATGGGCTATAAGAGACCAACAGGAAGAAGGAAGAACAGAGGTGATAGTGCAGCCAGACAAAAGCAAATGGCAGGGAAGGGGAAGACATGGTCCTCCAGATGCTGCTGGACCGCAAACTCCATCCTATCCCAACATCACTTTGCCGGCCGAGCTGATGGATTCCGCAATTCAGCAGTGTCTGAAAAACCCTGCCCTCATTGTGAATAAACAAACTGCCCCAAATCGTGGTAGGACAGGCAAACAAACATGTTTCTGTGGAATGAGAGCAGCATTCTTGTGGAAAGTGTTCTTGTGTTGTTTCAGAAATGTTTTGCTTCCCATGATCTGAATTAGAAAGCTTGAATCCTCATCATATTAAAAGTTTTTATCAGACCAACCTGAACATGCAAACTGTTCACTTTTAAATACAGTGGGGTCTTGATTTGAGAACTTAATCCGTATTGGAAGGCGGTTCTCAAGTCAAAAAGTCTGTAAGTCAAGCCGTCTGTAAGTCGAGGGTCCACTGTACTGATTGAAGCCTTGTTTAAGCATTAAGCCTGGATCTGTATAGCGCTCAGTGGATGGGTAGAGGTGATGGGAGCCACACCTTCAGTGTCCCTTCCTGCAATCTGGACGATTCTCAGTCTGTTGCAGATTTGCAGGTTTAACTTTAAAGATCTGCAGAAGAAGTAGTAAGTGCTTCAGCTGGACATATGTGGAGTACCTTTGTGATCAGAAGCTCGTGCTGTAAGCCTCCACTGCAAGATTTTGATTTTAAAATGTTAAAGTTTGAAAGATTTCTGGGCAATATAAGGGACCTAAGGGATGGGGCCTACATGCCGGCCCCCTTTCACCCAACCATGCAGCCCTACATGGGTTCAGACTTAATGCTAGAATAGAGCTTCAGTTGGTCCTTGCTAGTGATCTACAATTACACTTAGCCACATTATGCAGCCTGACTGGAAATTAACATAAGCTTGGTTTTATACTGAGTGTAGCTGCTGTTCTGTATCCATCTCTCTTAAATTTAGTGATTTAATTGAGTTTTCATTCAATTTTCCTCAATATTGCATACTTAGAAGGTAGAAAATCTGCATTACAATTGCATCCAAGTAGTTAAGAGTCTAGTCACACCCATTTATTTATGTAAAACCCATCTGTCCTTGTTTTAACTAGCAATATATTTGGTCACAAGCCTGTGGATTATGCTGAAACGGAAAAGATGAAGTCGCTTCTGATGCTATCAGTAAATAATGAATCTTCTACACTTACTCAGTGTGCAGAAGTAAGTATTAAAACATTTTTTATTTCATTTCATAAGTTGCACATGGGTATGATGTTCAGTAACCTAGATCAAGCTTTGCCGATTATGGATAATACAAGAATATTAAAAGTTCTTATTTCTCACATTTTTTGCCTCTGTGTCCGAGGACCCAAGGCTGTTTTAACAATAAAGTCAATAAAAATTAAAAGTAATATAACCAAAATTTGAGTAGCAGTCTCAATAAGAACCCCAATTTAAATGAGTAACCAATCAATAAAATAGTTTAAAAAGCTAAAAAGATCTACACAGTGTCAGTAGGCAAAAAGTTCCATAGTAAAGGCAACAGCACACTTGACTGCCTCAATAAAATGAAATAGCTGTGCTATTAAATATTATCCAGCACCTACAAAATTTATTTCCACTAAAGGTGTCAGAGAAATAGCCAGATGCACTAGTCCATTTACAAACCTGTAGCCTGAACGTCCCTAGGGTTCCACTCGGGGGAGGGGAAGGTGCATGTCTATTCACCTGGATATTGTCTACCTTAGTTCACCCCAGGGGAGTAGACAAATGTTCCTTTATGAGCCTCTTTTGTCTGCTCCTCCCTGCACTATCGGACATTGCCAAGGGATTGAGAGCATTCTTGGTGGCTCAGAGGTTGTGCTATTGTGTTCTTTCTTTATGCCGGAGAAAGGAAAGATCATTATTTGGACAACTGCTCTTTTCTTTGTCAGAGAAAAATAAACACCACAAGTGCTCCTCCTCTCTGACAAAATAAAGCAGTTCTTTGGAGTTGAGCAAGCAGGTAGGAGAGCAGTAGAGGAGAATAGCTGTTCTTTAACTATTTGCAGTGATGCTGCAGTGCTCACCTGGAGTTAAGCACTTGAAAAATCACATTTCATCTAAAGATTTACTATAGTGAACCTTGGCTTTTCTACTAAAATCTTGACAGAATCTCAGATCCTCAAGGCATGGAAAAATATAATGTGCAGGGCAAATCACAGTAATAGCCTACATATACTGAGAGAAGGATTAGTGCTTTCAGCAACAACAGAAACCATGCATGAATTTACCATTTGCTCATAATGTTCACTCTTACTGTATATTTGTCAGCATTCACAGGGTCACTTTTGTCATTCTCATGCAATTTGTATGTTCCCAGCAGGGTAGATTTGAATTGAATCAGATTGAATTAGATCATAATTTAAATCACTAGTCACTGGATAAAAATCATTTTTTTAAAATCAGATTTTTAAATTTTAGTCAGATTTGTAATTTAAATTTTAATTTGAATTGGATTTTTAAAATTTGAATTGGATTTTATTTTATTTTAATTGATTTTTTTATCCACCATGCTAGTGATTTAAATTGACCTGGTTTAATTCAAGTCCACCCTGGTATTCAGGGCACATTTGTGTTGATAGACCCTTGAGTCGTTTTTCTTTAATTCGGAAAGAATCCAAGCTGCAGGGGTTGAAATATAGATCCTCAAACAAAGGTCTTTCAAAGGGGAAAAACAATGACTTTGGTATAAACAGAGCGCGAATGGCTTACCAGCTAGAGCTTTGCAAAGTAGTTATATTGTTCCAGCTTCATGGGCAGGGAAAGCTGTGGAATAACGAAAGGTCACAGAAACAGTCAGAAAACAGGTTTTCTTAAAGCAGAGATGGAGAAGAAACAAATTAAAAACCATAGACCAATCTCTCTTTTGAATGTTGATTATAAGATATATGCGATCATCTGGGCAACTAGATTAAAGAAGATGCTTATGGAAATTATACACAAAGACCAGAGAGGCTTCATCCCAAGCGGAAACTAATATCAAATATGAGGTCAATAACAGACATTTTGGAATATTTTGAAACACATCCAGAAAAACAAGTGATGCTGATCTTCCTTGATGCAGAAAAGGCCTTTGATAATGTGAACTGGGAGTTTATGTTATTGCAATTTAAGAAGATGGGAGCAGAAGGAACTTTTCAACAAACAATTAAAGCAATATATGCAAAAATCAAAGTCAATGGCCAAACAACTGAAGATGTCCAAACCGAACAAGGCACGAGGCAGGGTTGCCCCCTTTCTCTGTTACTATTTATTCTAACATTAGAGATTTTGAATAGACAAATAAGAGGAAATAATGGAATTACAGGACTTAGAATCAGGGGAGAAGAATTTAAGTTACAAGCGTATGCTGAAGATTTAGTACTGATATTTAAAAAATCCCTGGATATTATAGAAGAATTATTAGGAACTATAGAAGAGTGTGGAACGATCGCAGGTCTTAAATGACCAAAAAATGAAATTCCTGACTAAAAACATGAATAAAGAGGATGTCAAATAATTGATAATGAAAACTAGCTTTGAGGAGGTACAAAAGGTGAAATATTTAGGAGTTACTATCACAAAATGTGATGAAAGAAAATTATTTTACCATTCAGGAAGAAATACAGAGAGGCTTAGAGGATTGGAATAAGCTACAAATCTCAGTGATGGGACGAATCTCGATAATAAAGATGATTATTTTACCAAAATTGTTATTTTTGTTTCAAAACTTATCAATTCTATTAAATTATAAATACTTCAAGGACCTGAACAGCCTGATCTTGAAATTTGTATGGAAGACCAAAAAAACAAGAATAAAACTTAGAACATTGCAAGATTTAAAAGAGAGAGGAGGTCTAGGACTGCCGAATTGGCTATTATATTACAAAGCCTGTACTATGGTTTGGATAAAAGAATGGATAACATTAGAAAATCAAAGACTGTTGAAATTGGAAGGTCATGATTGAAAAATGGCCTGGCATGCATATGTGTGGTACGGAAAATTCAAAGAACAGACACATTTCTCAGAACATATATATTGTGAGGAAAGCGTTGTGTCTAGTATGGCAAAAATTCTAAATGCAAACTTATAAGAAAATCCCAATATGGGTGGCACCAATAGAGGCATTTACATTGAAGGTATTGAATCAGAAGGGAGTTTTACTCATGTATAAAGATTTGTTAACTAAAAATCAAACTATGAAAGATAAACAAGACTTAGAGAAACTGGGTCTAGCAACAGATTGGTGGTCAATGCTGAAATTAGAATCAAGTTTTTAAAAGGATAAAAAGATGGGCTTTTTTGAGGGGAAAGTTCATGTGGATCAACTATGGATTTACACAAAGGAGAAAATAATAATTAAAAAAGGTATTCATATCTATTAGAGCACTGGTTCTTAACCTTGAGTTACTCAGGAGTTTTGGACTGCAACTCCCAGAAGCCTTCACCACCAGCTGTGCTGACTGGGGTTTCTGGGAACTGCAGTTCAAAACATCCGAGTAACAAAGGTTAAGAACCACTGTATTAGAGTATGATCTAGATGTGGTGGCACTGCAGTAAACCGCAGAAGCCTCAAGAGGTCAGAAGACCAGCAGTCGTAAGATCAAATCCACACGACGGAGTGAGCTCCCATCACTTGTCCCAGCTCCTACCAACCTAGCAGGTAGAAAGCATGTAAATGTAAGTAGATAAATAGGGACCACCTTGGTGGGAAGGTAATGGTGTTCTATGTCTAGTCACACTGGCTACGTGACCACGGAAACTGTCTACGGACGAATGCTGGCTCTACGGCTTGGACACAGGGATGAGCACTGCGCCCTAGAGTCAGACACGACTGGACTAAATGTCAAGGGGAACCTTTACCTTTACCTATGAACTAGAACAATGGTTCTTAACCTTTTTGAAAGAAACGCCCCCTTGAGCCATTGAGGAAGTTATCATCGCCCCGTGGCAGTGTGGCGTCACCAAGGCGGTGCCACAGGGAGGGGCGATAATAACTTTCTCAATGGCAGTAGCAGCACTGGTGGCACCACATCTGCTGCCAGCACCAGCTGTTCTGGATCTGGTGGCATGGTACCGAGGGGGGGGCGATGATAACTTCCTCAACGGCAGCGGTGCGCCGGCTCCATCACCCCTATCACCCCCTTCTGTTCCTTCGCCCCCACCTCGCCCCTTTTCGTTCCATTGCCCCCCTGAAAAATTAAATCGCCCCCTGGGAGGCGATATTGCCCAGGTTAAGAACCACTGATCTAGAAGGTGAAAGGGTGAAGGAGGTGATGGTCAAATGAGCACAAAACTTTGGTTATAATATTTATATTGATGACTGGTCAAAAATGTGGAAAGATAATTAGAAGCTGATTATACCAGTTAATCTTAGTTAGAGAAAACATCCTTAAAATGTTTCACAGATGGCACTTTACTCCGGTAAGATTGGCAAAAATGTCAGAAGGGATCAGTAATGTTTGTGGAAATGTAAAAAAAATCTAGGGACTTATTATTATGTATGGTGGTCATGCGAAAAAGCAAAAAAATAATGGTTGAAAGGAAATGTCACAAGAAATTGTTCAGCAGAAATTAAGTTTTAAACCTGAACTGTTATTATTGAATATAATGCCAGAGATTATTGATAAGAAAACAAAGTATAGTCTACTGTATATATACACTGCAGCTAGTTTACTCTGGGCCCAAAAATGGAAGAATGGAGAGATACAAACGATGGATGAGCTATTAAAGAAGCTATTAGACATTGCAGAACTAGATATGCTTTCAGAGGCACTATGGGATCAACTGAGATGCTTTGTAAAGGAAAGCTGGAAGTGGATATATAATTGGGTCCAGGAAAAGACAAGAATGTAGGGGAAGAAATTGTTATGGCGAATCAGAGCTCACTAAAATCCTTTGATGATATTTAGATGACCAGACGATGGCAAAATCTCTGATCTATATTTGTAGTATGGATGTTTAGTTTTGCTGTTTTTGTTATTGGTGTTACAGTATTTTTGTTAGGTCTTAGTTTTCTGTCGTGTATGTTTTCTGTGTATGAATACTACTACTACTACTACTACTACTACTAACAACAACAACAACAACCTGGAAGCTGGTGATTTCGCCCGCGCTGGCCCCGTGGGGGTTGGGGGGAGCATGGCAAGGTTCCTGGAAGGCTCCCCTGGACCCTTGCGAGGCTCCCCTCCACGGGGCCAGCGGGAACGAAATTGCTGCCTTCGCTCCATAAGACGCACGGACTTTCCCACCCACATTTTTTGGGGGGGGAAGTGCACCTTATGGAGCAGAAAATACGGTACTTGTGAGAGTTACTTCAGACCTCTGCCAGCCTTCATGGTTAGAAGCCCTCTGTGCATAGAGGACAGTGAAGAAGAAGCAGAGGTGAGGTACTGCAGGTCCCTTGGCATATGGTGATTTCTCTTGATGGATCTGGAGTGTTTGGATAGAGCTACCATTTCTCACAGATCTCAATATGGGGATAGTGGCTCATGTCACACAGTCTTCTGAAAGACAGCAATTGACTGTGGGTCTTGACCTTCTGTTTAAACTGCAGTCAAAATTGCTTTGGAGGCACACAGTCTGACAGCCCTGGTTTACTCTGTTGCCTCATAGCTGTCTGCTATTTTGGAAGGATGTTTTCAAAAAAATCTCCTATGAAAATTATTGGTCAGTTGATAGATCAACTATGCAAAATTTCTTAAGCAACTAGAAACTATTCTGAAGGCCATAAAGCCTTTTTTGTCCCTTTAGTGCTGTTGTATTAGATAGAAATAGGAATGCTGATGAAATCTGTTTGTGTCCTGCAATACCACTATGAATTGTGTTCATGTCAAAATAGTTGTTTCTTATTTAATAGAAACGTCAAGCAAAGATTAGTTGGTCCTTTAAAAAATGTTTTAAAAAACAGCTTTTTGTAGCACTTAACAATTTCCTCTTTTTGTCCCCGCAAAGCACATAAACTTAAATAACCCTAGAGATGGGCCTGTTGTTCTCCTTGGAAGTGGTCTTGATCCAGTTAAGCAACAGTTATTGAGCAAACTGGCTGTGGTTCTGAAAGCTAGACTATGTACAGAGTTTAACAGCACAGGTGAGTATTCCTATCTTTCTTTAGTTTTCCCCCCAAATGTAGGTTGTACATAGACTTAAAAACTTATTTTTAAAATAATATTTCGATCAACCATTCTCGATGGGGGCCATATGGTGCAGACCGGAAACAGTTTCCCATACACCACCTTGTAAGGTTCATTATGTGACTTGTACAACCCTGATTTGGCCTATATTTCTTTGATGTTTGTGGCTGTGGCCAATACAAGGTTGAGAATGGCTGATTTAAATGGTGAATGATAGCTCTACGTGACAGTTACCTTCCATGTCTCTGAGAAACGCCTTCTCCATGTTTCATTCTGATCACTCTCCCTAAACCATTGAGGACAGGCAGAGAGGCATTCTCTCAAGCTTCAGATATTCCATTATTGGGCAAATATACAGTGGTGCCCTGCAAGGTGATTGCCTCGCGGGACGAATGGGTCCAGCGAGGATTTTGGTGCCTCACAAGACGATTTTAACTATGACCCTGTTTTGCAAGGAGAAGCCCTGGGAGTCTTCTGAAAGTGGTGCTTTGCTGGTGGGGGGCGGGGTGTGTGTGCTCTTCTTCCCTCCCGCCCCCCTCCCCGCCTCACAGCTGATCGGCCCAGGGTGTCAGAGGCTTCTCTGTGCTTTACCAGCAGGTGAACAGGCAGTGGAAATGCACCGGGGAAGCCTCTGAAGTGGTGCTTTGCCAGGGTAGGGATGGGTGGGGCAGGCCCAACCCCCCACCCCACCCCCACCCCACGGCAAAGTGCCGCTTTCAGAGGCTTCCCCGGTGCATTTCCACTTCTTGTTTACCTGCTGGGCAAGCCTGGTGAAGCTTCTAAAACCCAGCGTTGATCAGCTGTGAGGCAGGGAGGGGGAGGGCTGGAGCAAAGAAGAGCAGAAAATGGCTGCAGGCTCCCTGCTGGGTGCTGGCTCTGAGCTGTTTGGTGCTCCTTTTCCTGCTGTTCTGAGGTAAGTGATTTATTATATATATTTTGGACTTTTTTCCCATAGGAACGCATTAATTAAATTTCAGTGCATTCCTATGGAAAACCGTGCCTTGCAAGATGACATTTTCACTGGGCCGCATTAACTGTGGAATGGATTAATGTCGTCTTGTGAGGCACCACTGTAGATGCGATCCAAATAGTGGACATGTCTTTCACCCTTCTGGGCTTTTCCGCTCCCCCTTCCCAACTCCTGGGCAGAAATGGCTGGAATAAAGTTTGGAGGATGCATGCCACAAGGTGCACTGGACTGTTGTTGTAAGAAATATTCCCTCCTGTTGTGCACCCATCCAGAAGGCTCCCCCTTTGGCAGAGTTGGATCCTGACCTGTGTATGGCTTTTTATTTAGACATGGATTTGGTGACATTAAAGGAGTACAGGGTATATTTTTGGTCCATGTGTTTATTTGCAATATTTTCTGTCTTAACAATATTAAGTTTGCAACCCTAAATTCAGCAGGAGGCACTGATTACACTGTAAAGCCAAAAAAAAACTTGCTTTGTGTATGCCTAGTGGCTTTTGGGAGCTTTTTTGCGCCTTCCAGTTGGACCTCTCCTATGCAACATGCTCTTGAGACTTCCATGAGTTTTAATACAAAAAGCAGTGTATGTGGCGGAGGGGGGGGACCTTGATGAAAAGGAACCCCACTCCCAACCCAGAGAACTTCCACAGAAAATACATGGAATTAATTATATGAATGTCTGAATTGTGGCTAATGCCTTGTAGTTCTAAGATACAACTTACCTAACTGTGTCTCAGAAAATGATTGCAGACAGTAATTGCACTTAAGAGGCACTTACTTTCCTAGTAAGTATGCTTAGCCCGTACACGGTTTTCTCCAAGTGTGAATAATGATGCTTTTAATAGAACTGAAACAAAATAAGATGAGAATCCTGTGGGAAGGGTGCCTTCAAAACTGGTATACATCATTAATTTCCTCCTGTTTTTAAATGATTGCTGTTCTTACATTCAGAAGCAACTAGAAAGTTGTCTAGTAATTTAACCCTGGGTCTCTAAAGAGATCTTTAAAATCATGGCAGAGTTCCACATGGGCATGTATGGTGATCTGCACCTGTATGGCATCTTTACAAGGCTCCCCTACCAGACATAGCTCTCCCCATACCATCAGGAGCAAGGATCCCTCAGAATGACTCCCCATAAAGTGCAAGCAGAAAAAAACTATTACTCTGCCATCTGTATGTGGAAGATGTGTCTGCTCATGCACAAGGTTTTGATCATGAAACCATATTGCCCTAGGGAAGTAAAGGAGTCAAGATGATTTCTTCAAGTGGGGACAAACTAGCTTTGCACCTTATTGTTTTTTACATGCTGCACAATGTAAAGGCAGTAGTACTAAATTTCAGGCAAGCTGTTTTCTCTTCTAGTGACACACATTATAATCCCTGACCCTCCTGTGCGGAGTACTATGAAGTGCCTGCTGGCAGTCCTGGCTGGTTCCTGGATCTTGACATTTAAGTGTAAGTAAGGAGGTGGCCATGTGGCACAAAAGTACCTTTTTTGGCATAAGGACTATAGACTAAACAAATGTGCTGTAATTTTTCTTTTCTCAGATTCCTGTCAGGAAAAAAAAAAGCCCTGGTTCTTTGTTAGGTGGATGACAAGAATTCAGTGCTAAATATTACTCCATCTGTTCAAAATTTGTAGTGCTTTGTATTAATGAGATGCCACTGAGTTAATAAGAGCTTTTGCTTGTTAGAAGGATACGCAGCTGTTAACAGCCTTACTTATTAAATATTGGACCACTTCGGCATTGCAGTCTGAAAATAATACATCTCTTGATGGTCTCAGCAAGAATTGTATGGTGATCAAGTCCTCTTAACTTACATAAAGAGTTTTTAAAAAATGTTCACTTCGCTGTCTTTGGTTTTGGCAGTATAGTTCAGCAGTACCATAAGAATAAATGTGGCATGCAACTGAAGAGTGTAACGACTAGCATGGGAAAGAACTGAAGCACTCATCTTCTAAAATAAAATAAGTAATTCTATCATAGATTACTAGCCCAGTTTAGAAGTTATAGCCTATTTGTTTTATGCTCTCCAGGGCCTTATTTTTGTCCTTGCTGTGGCGCATTCAAGGGTCATTCCTCCCATTACTGTATGTTTTGAAGCTTGTTCCTATCACTTATCTGTCCAGGAAGACTTCATGTGCCTCTTTAGAGACTGAGAAAATTATATGATTTGTGAACCCAGTTCTGTGTTTCACCAGTCTTTTCTGTGCCCTTTTCACATGGGTTTAACATGGAAGGGGAACACACTAGCCCAGTGGTTCCCAGTGTTGGATAACCCAGGTGTTCTTGGACTGCAGTCCCCAAAAAACTTGGCCAGGACACATGGTGGTGAAGACTTCTGGGAGTTGTAGTCCAAGAACACCTGAGTTACCCAAGGTTGGGAAATACTGCATTAGCCCTATGACCCTGCTTGCATTTTTCTTTTCTTTTCTGCATGTGGAGGGCAAAACTCTGAAGAGGAGGAACTCTCACATGCATGGAAGCTTGGAAAACAGTTTGAAACTGTGTCTTTTGTCCTTCCCACAGATATGGAGGGTAGAGGAATCTTCTGGAGCTGACTTGGGTGTGGGCTGCAGGGCAACAGGAAAGTTCCATTGTGTATGTGGAATTTCTCACACACAATGCTGAATGTAGCACAGTGAGAATTTCACACACAATGCTGAATGTAGCACAGTGACATTTGAAAACCAATCTTTTTTTTTTTTTTGGTGAATACTTTAGCTATCCCTTATCTTCATTCAGTAAATTACGAATTCGCTTATCAGTATAGTCTTAGCTCATAACATCCTCAGCTTAGTAAGCAACATACTTTTTTTAAAAAGCCAGTGAGTCTCCTCCCTGGTGGGAAATGCTAGGAATAACTCATAGGGTCTGATGCAGCTAAGGGCCTGTAATTAACACCATGACTCCATCTGTTCCCACCAGTCTTGGTTATTAGTCTTCTTCAGAGTCATTACATGTTAAAGATTGTTATAACAAATAATTGGACTCCTGCTGATGAAACATTTGTATAGGAAAAGAGGTCTTTCCCCTCTCTTGCTTATTTATCATACCTTCTGTTTGGCAATTGCCAAATAACTGAGGAATAAATCTCAGCAGAGCATACACATAATATTTTATAGTCTGGTCTTGAGAGTTGCTGTTTCAGCAGAATAACAGCCGTTGGAGAGGACATGGTGGGTGCCACCTGGAGAGGTTCTTGGCTAGGTTTCTTTGAGACCACTGCTTAAGCAGCTGTGGGTTGTTGTTGTTTTGTTTCATCTGCAGCTTAATGTTTAGTGAGACTGTTCCTCAGTCTCACTGGCCTCTGCATTCCCAAATATGACATTATGCCAGCCTGGCAAAGGGAGAAGTGTTCAATATTGGTTTGATTCTCATTTAAACGGGGAGAGCTCACATTTAAACACATCAGAGTTGAAATGCTGGAACCAGCTTGTAAAGGATGAGAGAAGGAGCCCAGAAGTCCAGCATGTGATCCCAGCTAGTATTATATTCCTAATACATTCCCATCCATTTTAGTTCACTGACACCCAGGATGTCAATGTTTATTCTTGCCATCTCCTGTTTGACCACCTCCAGCTTCCCAAGGTTCATAGATCTTACATTCCAGGTTCCTATGCAGTATTTTTCTTTGCAGCATCAGAGTTTCCTTTCACTTCCAGGCACATCGGCAGCTGAACATCCTTTCGGCTTTGGCCCAACCACTTCATTAGCTCTGGAGCTACTTGTACTTTTTCTCTGCTCTTCCTCAGTAGCATGTTGGACGCCTTTCAACTTGAGGGGCCCATCTTCCAGCATCATATCTTTTAGCCTTTTCTTTCTATCCATGAAGTTTTCTTGGCAAGGATACTGGAGTGGCATTGCCAGTTCCTGCTCCAGGTGGATCGCATTTAGTCAGAACTCTCCACTATGACCTGTCCGTCTTGGGTGTCCCTGCACGGCATAGCCCATAGCTTCTCCAAATTACTCAAGCCCCTTCACCACAACAAGGCAGCAATCCATGAAGCGGGGGGATATGATAGCACTTTTCAAATACTTGAACAGCTGTCATAGAGAGAAAAGGCAGGATCTGTTCTTGAGCAGCCCAGAGTGCAGGACACAACGATGGGCTCAAGTTACAGGAAGCCCATATTCCTGTTTGAATATCAAGAAAAACGTCCTTACTGTCAGAACAGTACAGCAGTGAAATCAGTTACCGTGAGAGGTGGTGAGTGCTCCAACACTGGAGGCATTCAAGAGAAGTGTAAACAACCACCTGGCATATATCGTTTGATTTGTATTCCTTCATTGAGCAGGGGGTTGGACTTGATGGCCTTATAGACCCCTTCCAACTTCATGATTCTAAGGTGGAAGTGCCATCCCTGAAGCACTTCTACCAGTGCATTGCAAATTTGGTCATGATGAGTACCATGTGATCAGTTGCACAATTGAATTATCCAATCTGCATTGCATGGGCAGAACACCTGGGAAAATTACACCTGTGTAACTTTACATTACATAGCAATGAACTGGATTCTGGTAAATGAATTCCAACCATGACAGTATTTTGGAAAAACCCTGGTAACTCCAGATAAAAGGATGTAAGGCAGCAGGGCTGGGAGAGATCTCTGCCTAACACTCTGGACAGCCGTTAGTCATCAGTAGTAGACAGGAGTATGTAAGACGGAACACTGCCCTAGCAGTAGTTTCAGCTATCTGTACTTTGAATACCCATGTTAAACACCAGATTTAATGATCTGGGAATTGGCATAGCTGCTATCACTCTTCTATCAGAGAGTAACTAACAGGCAGAGTCTGAAAATTATAATTAGTCTTGGAAAGCTGTTTGTGGTCCCTAAGCCATGGATTGGAAGATGCCTCAGAACTTCATGCTGGTTACCTAGTGGGTTGCCAATTTGCTTTAAGAATTATACTTCTCCAAGAGATTGACCAGCTTCCCCTCTTGTCCTAGGCCATGCTGTAATTTAGTTCAGGTATCATGCCAGATTTATACTACACAAAATTCAACCATAGTTTCTGCTTTCAGATGTGTTGTAGGCACATTCCCATGGTTCACAGCAATGAGTTGTTTGTGTTTTCTGTCTGGTTAGGACTCCAGTGTATAGATGATGTGGCCTTCAGAGACAAAACAATGGCCATATATGTGATTTGTCAGTTCTGATATTATGCCAAACTGTTTTTCACAAACCTGCTTTGATTGCTGGTATCTGACTTTGTTGAAGCTGCAAGCCATTGCTATGTACTTCAGATATTACAGGAGAGTTTCTTAACTGACATTTTGGGATACTTTCTAATCAAGCCAATTATTATAACTGATTTTATTTAATATATAGATTACTAGATAATGGAAGTGTACAACTAGTGCTCTCTAAAATTTCAGAGTTAAAGTGCAGTCACTTCTGCGTTTCTTAGGAAGAAAAAGCTTTACTTCCATCAAGAGCACCAAAGAAGTCTGCACTTATCATTAATGTGTGTTCCTGACAATCTCCGTTTTCAGTAAAAACTCTGCATATGTAAAACTTAATCTCAGCCCACATGTAACAAAATAAGGTTTGCTATTGCCTACCTTCATTACAATCACAAAAATGACAAAGGCAATGAAATAATGGAAAGAAATGGAAGATATAGCCCAAGGCAACCGAGGCAGAGAACACTGCTGCAAATGAATTTTATGCACCTTTTAGAAGTTACGTCTCTGATATCGTTTATCTAGAAATGAGTAAGAATTAAAAAGTTGGGCCATTTGTATGATTTGTTGTTTCAAGTTATTGGTGTTCATTCTACTGTTGTCAATTAATTAAGCCATCCTCACTTGACATGTTTCTAAGTTTGAAAGTATTTATTATTGTGCCAGAGTCTATTAAGAGCAAAGTATGAAATAAAAAAATCACAGTGCAATAATTCAGTGCACCACTTTCCTGCCTTCCAACTTCCTTACGGGCTGCTGCTCTCCCAAAAACAACTTCTGAAGGTTGTAGATCTTTCTGGCAGTACAGTGATGAGGCCCAGTTTATGAAATTGGTGCTTTCTTTTAGTAAGCAGAACTTGATCCAAGTTCTGTTATCAGTAGGATTCATGTCTGTGCTTTCAATTTTCTTTGATTTCTGGTCTTCCTGGAAATTACTTACATCCAACTGATGTGGAGACAACGGCTGAAATCCAGTAAAGGTGCAGCTGGAATAGGCCCATTGAATCAGTCCACTCCTCCATAAATTTCATGGATTCATCGGCCTCCTCTAGTTGCAACTTAGTGCTGGATTTCAGCGAAAACAAATTAATTTGCAGTTTGTGAGAAGAAGAAAAAGCTATTGCTGTGACCATTCCACCTAATCGGTGTTTAAGGAGTTCTCTGTTCTGGTGACAAGTTATCTGAAATATAAAGTTCAACCTTCAGAATATCTCTAATCTATCACTGCAGAGAAGCGTCTTTGGAAAACATTGTCAGCTATACTGATCCCTCTATAAATTCAGCAATAGAGGAGTTGAGACTATAGCATTTTCTAAGGAGCACCCAAGGGATAGACACAGCAGGCTTGGGCTGTGAGTTAGAGGGGAATCTACAAAGTGTTTCAGAATCCTTGCTAATGCAGAGTAGTTCCCTGGTATAAAGGCTGACACACAAACCCTGTACAGGTAGAAAGTTAGAAAGACTGCTAGTTTAGTGAGAGCTAAGAATGTTCCTTACAAATTCCTAAGGTGCTGTGTGTTTTAAATATTTTTTTTCTGAAAATAAATGTATATGATTTAAAAATAACTTCTATGTCTCCAGGATTATCCCTGAAGACCAGTTTAGTTAAATATTTTCATTACTTAAATATTAAGTATATTATACCAGCTAACAAAATGCTTGAGCAGGGTTTGGGGGAAGGGAAGCAGAATTTCATGGAGATCTTAAACTCTGAGAGTCAATCTTCCATTTCAGTTGTTTTCATTTTTAAAAGCTCATTTTGTAAGGGCTTCAACTAGAAGGTGTAATAAACACTTAGCTTGCTACTTATGAGAGTACTTTATTTACATACTTCGCAGTCTGGATTCCACCGTAGTTTACCAGAAGCTGGTATTTTTATTTTTCTTCTATTTTCATCAGCAGGCTTTGCCGCCACCAGGCACACGAGGTAGATTCCAGGAAAAAAAAGCAAAATTACATCTTAAAACAGCTGCAATAAAAAAGCCAACATCGATCAAATCTAATAAAAACCTTGCTGGGAGAGAAAGGCCTTCATCTGCTCCCCAGAACACCAACAAAGAGATAGTCTGTGGACTCTGGAGGGAAACCAACTCCCATGACACTTTTTTTTAAAGGCCCTACTCAAGATAAATGCCAAGCTGTTCCAATATGAAAGATACCTGGAACAGGCCCTGAGGTGAAAATTTTACTGTGTGTGGTCTTTCATCTGGGAGAGAGTATTTTAACAAAATAGTTAAAAATATGTACCGTGCCCAAGCTGCCTTCTAAATATGTGTAACATTTTTTTAAATTATCTCATTTATCAGATACTATCTCATTAATCATAAACACCAAATGATGTTTGTGGGACTAATATTGACTTACTCAAGAGACCACCTGCTTACATTAGCAGTATAATGGTCAATTTCCATTCCCAGTATATACTTTTAATTTTTCTCTGTAAGGCATCTGTTTTCATGTCTGCACGAGTTTTACTGGGAAAATATATTTTCATAGGCTATCATACAAAATACTGATTTTTTGTGAAAGTCTTGACTATTGTTAGGATTCATTGCTGTTTGAAAGTTACGCATTTCTAACCTTCACTCTTGCAAATAAAAATTGGAGAGGGTAGAATCCAAGGTTATTTGTACATGGCATGTTTTTTGTTTAAGTGGTTCATTAAAGAAAGGTTTATAGAAAGGTTAAAGAAATAGTTGTATAATTACAGCGTGTACTGGCTACAGATGGTTACAGTGAAAAATCAGATAATAGACATAGAGATACAAAGAGGAGTATCATAATAAATGTGTTTACTTTCGCCAACAGAACATCTTTAAAGAAATAATCATGGATTCAGATGATGGTATCATTGATGGATCAGTCATCAGCATCAGATGATACAGTATTACCAGCTGACAGTTTAGATTAGTGGTTCCCAGCATGTTTTGAGTTGTGGCCCCCTTTATAAGGGGCCACAACTCAAAAGTAACCCATGGACACTACCCCCACCCCTCACCATGTTTGCATAAAAAGGCATTTTAATAGGGTAAAGTCATCTCTTCTCAAGTAGAGGCTTCTTTCTCCCCCAAAGGGCCTGTTTCTCATACATGCACATACACACTAACTTTAATATACCACTCTGAAAGGCCCCCAGAAAACACTTTGTGACCCCCCCTTGGGGGGTTGCTTAATGAAGGTAGGGAAGTAAGTAAGAAACAGGAATCTGAATGTAAAAAAAATGTGAGTTCATGGTAGCTCCCAATACGCAGTTCAAGATTCCAAATGGAAGTATGAAGTGCGCTGACAAATATGTGTGTCTTGGGATTTGGTTGAAGGAACTATCGCTCAGGGCCAAGCAGTAAAATTCTTAGAGGTGGTCTGGAGTAGCTTTCTTAAGATGAAGAATGTAATATGCAACAAAAACTTAAAATTGGATTTGAGAATGTACATTTTATGGCACTTTAACACAGGGAACTATAAAAGGATAGAAGTGTGTGAAATACAGATTTATTGCAGTATGCTAATGATTTATTGGACTGAGAGGTGGCCAAAGAGAAGTACAAAAATGAATGGGTAAAAGGTCCAATATATCATTAAATATACAAAATGCAGATGGCTAGATCATTTCGGTCATGTAGGAGTGGGGGGGAGTGCAGATTGTTACCACTGATCACTCCAATTAAAATAAATTGGAAAAGGAAAACAAAGAGGAAGAAGAAAGTTGTGTTTGATTTTAAAAAAAAAAATCATTACAGAGTAGTTTGGATGCAGCATGGTGGCCAAAATTCTGTTGCTTAGCATAGTAAATTGCATTGGAATAGGCCCACTGAGTCACTGGAGATTTAATAAGTTAACTGCACCCTAAGTTCCACTGGTTTAATGGGTCTACTCTAACTGTTACCTGTAAAATAAGTTGCAGTTAGAGTAAATGCATTTGAATTAGTGGAACTCATGGAGGAGTTAACTCACCAAATCTCTTTGATAGAGTGCAATTTATTATACTAAGCAAGAGGACTTTAACCAGTATCACTGTTTAAAGCTGGCACAACTAAACTGAAGACAGCTGCGATTGAAATCCAGTCTTTGGTTGAAAAGGAATTAGAAGAAGCATAAATTAAGCTTCTTCAGTAGTCTTCAGCTACTTAACTGTTGACTCCTTGCTTACTTTTCTCTTGTGTTCAGAATGGCAAATAATATTTGTTGTGGTGTTCTCGTGAGTGTAACAGCTGACAACAACCATTTACATTTCTTAGTGAGAATCCTGTGTTACCTAGATGTCTAGTTCTCCCCTCAAGCTAGCAGTATTTTGAGAACTGAAGGTATTGTTGGTCTTCAGAATGCTGTCTTAATGTTGACACGTAAGCGATAATGTATTTCCAGGGGTCGAAGCCTGTCTTCAGAGTGGAGCTAGGGAACAAGAAGAGAAGTACGAAGTAAATGGTGGTCCACAACGAGGCCGGTGGAACAAAGAACAGCTGGTGAGGACTTGCTTGTTGGTCTTTAAATTGCCTTTGGATCCATATGTTGTGACTTTTTACCCCTTGCCACCTCTGCAGAATAAGGAAGGTGTAAGTGTGTGCTTCATTTCAGGCCTTGCTTTTGAGATGTGATAGACAACTGCTAACTTCCAAAAGCAATTTCAAACTGTTAATGGATTTCTGTTGTCATATATGCTGCTAAATCTTTTCAGTGCTTTTCTCATATGTCTTGGAAACATTTATTCAGGATGTTATCTGAAACACAAGGTAGATGGTTTTGCCCTTTGTTAACCCTTTGTGCTCCAACTACCAGACGGGTTGGTGAAGTAGCAGCTTTCATTTCCTAGTGAAGAAACAGTCATATCTGGACTTGGACAACAGTTTAAATTTACTACTGAATCTTTCTCTCCCCCCCCCCTCCACGTAATTGGGCCATGTAAGATTATTTTGTAACCATTTTGTGTTTTTTTTATTATGACTAGAGGAATACAGACACGAACTTGGTATGTTGTGAATCAATATATAAAACACAGCCACTCTCACTTCCCCACACATTTCCACCAAGAGCTATTACTGTTTCAAACCTTGTTTATATTTGCTCCTGTTCTGCAGCACAACACCATTCTTCCAGTTACTAGAGGCACTGTGTGGGGCTTTTTGTAAGCTGCCTTGCTCTCTTCGTCTGCTTCACTTCCATATTCCCCACAGCCAATATGTCCTTGTCTTTGCCCCTTGTCATATTGAAGTTCATACTGATTTGTGTCCTTGGTTCTCAGCGATCCTGCTTCTAGGTTCTTTGTTAGCTATTTTGTATATTCAGAGGGCTTCTTTTCCTACTCATTTTCTTGTCCTGTCTTTCACCTTCCTGCTACCTTTGAGCTATTTTTTCCTGCCTGCTCCCACTTCCTTTCAACAGCATAGTCTTTGTTTTCTGGAATTGGGAATTTTCCCCCCACATCAAATGGATGTTCTACTTTCCAAATAAGCATTGCACTATTTGTCCATTTTCTGTTGCTGACATTTTCCTATTTTTTGGAACATATCTTCACATCTAAACATGTCACCCAATGGCTAGGAAGATTAATAGCTGACAGGTGGGCAAAATATAGAACTATTTGGACCTACTGTATGACAGAAGAGTCCATTGAAAGGGTTCTAGAAATAACGATGTATTCTGAGGAAGTGAACCATGGCTTTGTAACAAAATTTTTTCCACCTTACTGAACATTCTTTTCTTTATTTCAGTTACCAAAGTTGTTTGATGGCTGTTACTTCTATTTTCTGGGAATGTTTAAGGAGCACAACAAAGATGACCTCAAAGAATTGGTGAAAGCCGGTGGTGGACAGATTCTCATGAGGAAACCTAAATCAGATAATGATGTGACACAGACAATCAATACAGTAGCCTATCATGCTGAGATCACTTCTGACCAGAGTTTCTGTACTGTGTATATAATCTATGATGGATCTTCTAGCTACAAGCCAGAAAAAATTCGTCAAGGAAAAGTTTGGGAGGTGCCAACTAAGTGGCTTATAGACTGTGTGACATCCTTTCAACTGTTACCTGTTAAGCAATGAAGTCCCCAGTGCTGCAGCACCGGAACCAGTTGCGAAAACCTGGTTTCCAGACAAATTAAAATCATGTGCTTTAACCTGAAAATAATGATTAAACATCAGATTTGCTTCAGTTGCATTTTTTAAAATTTGGGCTAGAGACAGCAGGAGAGAACTGCAGTCAGGATTCAGTTATCATGTGTAAAATCTTAAGTTTGGAAACTGGTGTGTCAATAGTGAGAATCATCTAACTTTTAGTAATGTATGATCCTGATTTCTATAAACTATTTGCGTGTTTAAGTACTGGCTTAAAAAAGTGCATGGGTGTCGGTTTATGATTGTAACATATTTGAAAGCATTAGCCTGTGTATGTATATGTAACTCCTCTTCTGTTTATTGGAATATTCTGAAATCCTACTCATTTTATGAAGTCTAACATCTGTGTCTGAAAATTTCATCAATATTGCTCTATTATAATCCCTTTATTAAGCAACCATAATATAAATAACCTATTCAAATAATTATTAAAGCTTTTTTTGCTATTTGTATATAGTGTATAGCATTCTTGATGTTTGTATTCAGTTCTTTGAACAAAATCTTGATTTCTCTGTTCCCATCTGTTGCAATTTTTATGCATTTTATATTATCAATGATAAATCATAACTTGAAGCATTGTTATGTGATCTTTATCTGTCCCATTGGGAAACGGGAACATACTTACAACAATACAGTCCTTCCCAATTACAGTATAGGTGAATACTGACTTTAACCAGTCTCTCACCCACCTATGCGTAGCAATTTAATTCACATATCAAATGCTGCTGGGGTGTTCAGTTATTACTGCTCGAAGTTGCTGGCCCACCATTATGGCAGATGACCTTGACATGTTTGTCATGAGGAGGGCATGCACCCTCTAGTCTTCTAGGTGGTTCTTGTTATGTGCCATCAAGTTGCCTCCGATGTACGGTGATCTGAGTAGGGTTTTCCAGGTACAGTATATGAAATGTTCAAGGAGGGGTTTACCATGATACCACTCCCTCACATTTCCATGACTGAGCAGGAATCTGAATCCAGCTTTCCTGACTCAGAGTTCAACACTGCTCACTACATTGCAGTAGTCCTCGTTCTTCCTTTTAGTGGACTACAACTCTCTTCAGCCTCAATCAGCATGTGCAATGGTCACAACAATGGGTGTTACCGTCTAAAATATCTGAGGAGCTACAGATTCTCCATCCCTCTATACTCAGGCCTTCTCTATCTTTCATACATCTTCCCTGAAAACCATACGTTTAACCCTTACTGACAGCGGGTGCTGATAACCAGGTCAGCAGGCATGGAATTTTTTTTATTGTTTTTGCCTTGCTTCCTTTCCCAGAGACGTCTCTGCTCCCCGCTGAATTGGGATTGTGCCGTCTGCCACAGGGACATCCAAGACTGAATGTCTGATTGATTGATTGATTAGATTTTTGCCCCGCCCCTCTAGATCATGTCTACTCGGGGCGGCTTACATAGATAAAAACAGAACTATATAAAATATATAAAATCATAAAATTACAATTATAACAATTAATTTGAAGCAAACATTACCAGGATCGCATGAGTAAAAAAAAAAAAATCTTTTAATTGACTGGAGGGAAGGCTTGCTTGAATAGCCAAGTTTTCAGCTGGCTTTTGAAAACACCCAGCGAGGGTGCCAGCCGTATTTCAGTTGGGAGGGTGTTCCACAGCCGAGGGGCCACCGCCGAGAAGGCCC